ACGCAGTCAATTAGTAAATGAACTACTTTTATGTGATTTTTGCAGGCTTGTATTCTAGCTCATTAACATGGTCTAGGTGACTATTGACTCCTTTGTTGTATACAATTTAAATAGGTTTCCTGAGTCTGGAGCATGGAACAACAGGAGATACTTTTATATTATGAAAATAAGACCTATAATTTGCACAAGCTACTGGACACTGAACATTTACCACTATAGCTGCTTCGCTTATTGAATGTTCAGTTTACTTTCCTTGATACGCAGTCAATTAGTAAATGAACTACTTTTATGTGATTTTTGCAGGCTTGTATTCTAGCTCATTAACATGGTCTAGGTGACTATTGACTCCTTTGTTGTATACAATTTAAATAGGTTTCCTGAGTCTGGAGCATGGAACAACAGGAGATACTTTTATATTATGAAAATAAGACCTATAATTTGCACAAGCCCTGTTTACATTGAAAAATGCAAAAATCTGGAGCTTTTATGTTGACAAGTTGTGTTGTATGCTACCAGTGCATTTGGGGACCTCATGTGGTGAACTCATGTTTTCTCCTTAGTTTATATGGAAGTTCTTAAAGCTCTTTAATTATGTCCATGTGAAACTCATGAATTTTTGGTCATGTTTCTGCTTCGGCTAGGCTCTCACCTCTGTTTTGTTATCGTTCTTCAGGACTTCCTTAGATGCCCATCAATCCTGCTATTCACTAAATCTGGCTTTGTTCAGAAGCTTTGATAATTTATGCTGTTAGGGTGTTGTCAGGTTAAAGTCCAACCCAAGCCTGGTTTCAACAATTCAACCAAATGCAAATCTGAATATGTCAATAATTAGATTCGGGTTGTATATTGGTCTTTATGGATAATATTGGTTGCCAGTTGTGGATTCATATCCAGTAACTTAGTGGACCTAGTTTGGGGGATACATTCTCATGTTGTAGGGTCGAATTTAGATTAAGTGGGTTATCAGGGTCTGCTAACACCCCCTACCCACAGGATGTCAGATTTGCAATATAGGAAATACTGTTTTGTTTATATTTCTAGCTGCATTTTGTTGTTTATAAAATTCTATGGATTCACATTATTCATTGGTTTAATTATTTGTTTCAGTTTGAATGAAACTGTTTTTGGAGAAACTGCAACTGCTCTGTCTTTCAAGGAAATTCGACGCCGAGATCCGTAAGAGCATACTTATTATGATTTACCAGTGGTCTTTTTTATTGTAATCAATACTCTGATTTTTATGGAATTTGTATGGCAAAGATCTTTTTCGCTGCCAGACTTTGTTGCTGAAGTTCAAGAAATGATCAGGCCTGTTCTGACTGCTTATTTCAAGGCAATTTTCTTCAACTTATAGGAAGCATATTATATTTTCAAAAGGAAGTGGATAATAATCTTTTATGTTCTCATTGACTCTGGTTTATTTTGTGGCATCCCCATCAACTTGTTGATGCATGTGATCTTGTTCTTTTAAATCAAAATTCTATCAACAATTTGTTGTGATCTGCAGTGTGATGTTGAAACTTTGAAGAAGTATTGCAGTCCTGAAGTGATTGAACGATGTAAGGGAGAGCGAATGGCTTATGAGAGTCAAGCCATGTTTTTCGATAACAAGGTATAACAGTGGAGTTGATATCTCAGTTTGTTGCATCATAGTGTAGATGCTCCTTGCATTCTGAGCCTCCTAGTGGAATAGACCTTACACAAAAGAAGTGACAAACTGTATGAATCCGATGACATGTTCCATGAAAGAAGTGATGTAGGCAATTGTACATATCTGGAACATATACTTGGTGTTGGCATGGCAGTGCAACAATTAAACAGCACTCACAGGCTACGAAGACCATGTTGACACAGGGCACTTAATTCATAATTGCGTCTCTAGAGATTCTGCTTGGGGTTGTATTATGGTTGTTCTTTGATTTAAGCAAAGATTTCTTTGAAGTTTCGTTTTATCTTGTCATGACAGCTTTCTGCATATGCTATATTGCAAGATTTTCGAACTTGTCTTTATCATAAATCAAATTTTTTGTTGATTTTACCAATGTTTTCCTGTTGGCACATAGAATAACATGCTCTTTTGTTTTTCTTTGGTGCTGCAGATTCTCCACATTTCTGAGGTTGATGTTCGGGAAACTAAAATGATGGGTTCGTCTCCTATAATTATAGTAGCTGTAAGAACTTCAACCAAGTACCTTTATCTATGTTATTGGAAGAACGCATGGCAACAGATAATGGTTAACCTCGAAGCTAATGGGCATTTTTTTTTCAACTTTCTATAGTTTCAAACACAGCAGATCTACTGTGTGCGTGATAGAGAAGGCTCAATAACAGCTGGTGGAAAGGTAAAATTTTTCATCATCACCCTGGGTTTACTGTGAGACGTAGCACATTAGAATTCTTTCATGGGTTTTAACTGCTAGCTTATTTCCTTAATGATGAAATTTGATGTACATTTAAACTCTCTAAAAAGATGAAACATACAGCTCATTTTGGTAAGGTTAGTACATGCATAAAATGAGGAAGTTCCACTCTTTACGTTGCAAATAATTCTCTCTCTTATCTATAGGACACAATCCAGACTGTATATTATGCATGGGCTATGCAACAAATGGATGCCGAGGAGCTTGGAGAAGGAGCATACTACCCACAATGGAGGTTACGAGAAATGCAGCAACTGGGCGTTCAATCACTTATCTAGGATTGACCACCGTCGTACCATGGTCCCAAGGTGTTTTCTCGGGCGTTGGCTGCTTCAAGAGAATCTATGACCATTTCAGTTTAACCAATCTCTTAGGAGAAGGTGCCATTTTTCCGTATACAGATGAAGCGAACCTCTGAAAAAATCACCTTAAAATAATTGTTTTCTTCATCATGGTGGGTTGTTTTGAGGAGGAAGGCTATTCTTTTTCTTTGTAATATGCTCAGCAAAATTTGATACCCAGAGGGTTCATAGTGGTGTATAATGTACTAGTAAAATTGAGCTGCTGATTCCAATTTTGTTTTCACGTTACACTACTATCATAAACCATTCATGTCTTTTATTTTTTTTCCACTTTTTTGTCATATGGCGGCCTTTTTTCCTATTATCCAGCCCTGTCAGTAATTAGTGGAGTGAAACATTGAGATGTAATCATGGTTGTAAGACAACATTTTACTTCAAAATAATATCATATGAAGATTCTCTTCTAAACCTGTGATGTTGGTGATGTTTGAACATTGATTACTGCCTCCATTCGATCAAGTGAAGGAAGATGAGTTCTCAAAGCCTTCATGTCAGATGCTACGTGTAATTTCAGTTGTCCTTGAGGTAGAATCAGTAGCAGACTAATGGTTTCATGCTTGAAACAAGGAAGCCACATGAACAGGCAATTTTTGTGCATCATGATTGAAATGGAAGCTGCTTGACGAACTCAAGCAGCAAATTCTGAATACTTGAATTGGTGATATGCAATGGCACCAGAAAAATAGGAATCAGAATGATCAGCCACAGCAAGAGAACGGTAATACCCTCCACGGCAGGAAACCTGTTACCGCAATCCTCAATCTGCTGTACTGCGTGCCCGAGTGAGCTTATTCAAAAGTCGTGCAGTGATTTGATTGCAGCTTTAGGATTCGTGCAAGGTCAACTGTATCTCACCAATAAACGAGGTTGATTGCTCTCTCTCTCTCTCTCTCTCTCGCCTCGCCCCCCGACTTACCTGAAGACCGCAGTCGCGGCTGAGAGGCTGTTGTTGTTCTCCGTCATCGACGTGTTGTTGGTGTTAGAAGACAGATGGCGTCGAGGCAGATGGAGGTGATCCAGAGGAAGCTGGAGATGCTCAATTACCCTCGATCCAACGCCCCCGCTCAATCCCTCCTCTTCGCCGGGGTCGAGCGATACGCCCTCCTCGAATGGCTCTTCTTCAGGTATCCAACGTACCTTCTTTCGCTCGCCTTCCTCTTCGGTTCCACCACCCCATTTCCAAAACTCTTTCTTTTCTTTCTTTTTGTGAAAGATTAGTTCACTACTTTTGCTTCTTGAATCTGAATCCAGACTTTGATCCGTGTTCTTTTTTGATCTTACAAATCTTGGAGGATTAAAGCTCAAATATTGATGGATCTTGGCATAATTCGTTCTTGATTTTCTTCCTCGTCTCTTGGACATTGGTTCGAGGTTTCGAAATGAAGATTGGTTTTTAGAAATTGCTCTTCTTACGATACTGACTTGTAATTGTGACCTAAAGTGTAAAATGTTATTGATCTTGATGTAACTTCCATTGTTTCGGTTAGATATCTTGCTTCTTTCTTACTTCTTTGTCCCAAAATATCTCTTTTTTCCTTCAAGTTTCTTTTTTCTTGAACCCTAGTTACATTGACGCCATTAAATCCGAGGCTTTGTTTCCTGGTAGGCTTTTAGGTGATAGGTCGCCGTTCACTCAACAGAACTGGCAAGGAGATAGCATGGATCGGGATGAGGAAAATACTCGAATTCAACGTGAGTATTACTATTCTATTACGAGATGATGACTTATTATTTTTAACGACTTCAAATTCCCCCATTCATTCCTAGACTGCTTGCTCTTAACCATGTGCAATAGTGTCGCTTGGCCATGTATGGCCATGAAAAGCATTACTTCAAATTTGCACCAATTTTGAAAACGAATTTTTACAGAATACTTTCTTGGATCTGAAAAATATTTGTTTCAGTTTCTTGTGTCCATATCCATGCAACGCTGCTTTAGGCTAGAGATGAAAGCATGTAAGGATTGTTTAGCAGCTTCAGCACAATGAGGTAGTTGATGACAAAGATAGGCACTGGAGTGTGTACAGAAACAATATTCTTACAATACGTTGACTGCTTTACAGCTTAAAGGTTATAGTAGGCTTAAGTTTAACTCTTGTGCTATCCTGCCAGTGCTTTTGCTGACAAATATGATATTTTCATATGATAATACTATTACATGGGACACATTATTTTTCAATTGCAGATAATGTGGTTGTCTAAATGTCTTTTATGTCTATTCTTTGCATGTGCATGATCATGCAATTTATTCTGTTAAAGATTCATTTTAATAAGAAAATGTTTTCACTATTTTCAGACTTGGCTGAGATAGCAAGCTTCTTGGGCATTACATCTTCAGTTGACACTGAAGCAATCCAAGTGAGTGATTTGATTGTTTAAAATTTAAAGTCCTTTTGCATAACATTAGCTGCATGAGACTGAAATGTACCATTAAGTATTTTTATCATTTTTATGTTCCTCTTTTTGTTTTCTATGTAAATAGAAGTCTGATATCTTGTGCTGGCAGAGCTTTTGTATGACAATAGCCGCACTAGTATTATACTACACCTCTTGTGATGACAAGTTTATTGATGTTTCACAATGAATGCTTCTCAAGTGATAGTTTTTCCCCAAACTGACAATGGTGAACAAATAGAGTATACTAGACTTGTTTCAACTTTCAAGATTATTTTTATGTTCAGTAAATACAGTTTTACCATGCAAAATTTGTATTCCTTTCGAGGGGATCTCTGAAAACCTTTTAATCTTTCTAAGATGGTTCTCCTTGTGAGGGAATTGTGTCATTCTGTGTGAACCATGGTATATTCCTGAAAGTGACTTCAGATTATATGCTGGATGAGGATCAGGTCTTGTCACCATTATGAGGTAGAAGTTTCTTATATCAGTTGGATGTTGAGATGTTCTTTTACTTTTGTAGTACATATATTATCAAACTTGTTGAAAAAAGATACAGAACTGAAACATAAAAGATCAATGATTGTACAAGAGACAACAATGTGAAAGATGATGTATATAATTTATTTAAATATAACAATGATGTAATTATTAAAAAAATTAATCATATTATATAAAGATATTATTATGGCAGATAGCAATTACATGTCATACAAAAAATTACAAGACTTGTCTGCTTTTAACTTGGAGGATAGAGACAAGGCCCACTGTGATCATGATGTTTTTCTAGTTATTGTACAGGTAAGTGTTGGTAGTGCAAAGCCATATAAGATAAAACGGTATCTAATGAAAGTGCTCATTGGTCTCGAATATGATGGAATATCCATCCTTTGTGATAGCATTTTTTATTTCCTTGAAAGGTAAGAACTACCCTGTTCTCCCCTTTACTCTCATTAGCAATGTATGACAAACATTAATAGTGGTGGTGGACAGCAATTTGAGAAGTTACATCGAGTGATGATGGTAGAGACTACAAACCTCAAAAAAAAAAAAAAATTCATTTTTCCTCCTCTGCTGCCCTCTTCTCCCCCCTCTCCTACTATAATTGCCACCTATTGCAGCTGCCAAACTCTTTTTTTGTTTTCCCTCCTCCTCCTCCTCCTCCTTTCAAGATTGTCTGATCAGTTAGAATTTGACCGTAATTGGCCAACTCCTAGCACGTTCCATCAATTCTGGCATTTTCTACTGATTTGTATGAGAAATCTATTGAAACTGGATCAACCTTTGATGATATGAATATGGATTGGGTGCATACTATATGGGGAATTTTCCGATACCACGAACTATGATAAAATGGCATTTGGCTCCAAACAATTTTCTTGTGTGATTGACAGTCAACTAGGAAGAAGACTTCTGTTGTGGTTTTGCCAGAAAACCAGATCAAAAAGATATCTGAAGGAGGTGGTTTTAACTTGGGTGATTTTAGTTGCTCTTTCAGGTTTCTAATCAAAGACTAATTTTAGTCATACTTGAGCTGTTGATTTTTTCTGGTTTCAGGGAAAAGGTAGCTATGAGGAACGTGTTGAATTGCTCCATTTATTCGTAGATCTTGTTGAAGCAAGCCAATATGCTGATAATCCAGAATGGAGGTCAGGATTTTATGATGATATTCAAAAGCCTTATTCTTTACATTGGTGCAAATAATGTATTCTAGCTCTTCAAGCAATATAAAACATAGCATGCAAATACTATTTGATATTACCTATATATTCTAAATTCTAAACCCGAATGTACTTTCTTTTTGGCAGTGTCGATGAGCAATTAGCAAAAGATGTGCAGTTGGTAGATTCAATTGCAGAAAGACAAGCTCAAATATTCTCAGAAGAGTTGAAACTTTTTCCAGCAGATGTGCAGATTCAGTCTGTTTACCCCTTGTGAGTATTGTAAAAGATTTTGATCCATCCAAATCCAAAATACTGGAGTAGATATATTGTCATTAGACTCACTACCATATTAATAAGAAAGCTAAGAAAAATAAAAATGATGTGCTTTGAGCATATCCTGTATTTATTTCATTTTGGTTGGGATTTGGACACATGTCCCTTACATTCATTGTCAAGCATCTGTGGTTCGTCCATGCTGAAACCAAGTGAAATTGGATAATTACCAAACTTTCTGTAAGGATTTAAATAATAGACTGACTCTTGATATGAGAACTTTTCGCTTTTGTTTCACCTTGTGTAATTCATTGTCATTGCTCCAGTATGTGTTAGTTTTATCTCGGTGATTTTATTACATAACCGAAATGGTTTGCCGCTCAGGAAGCACTTGCATTGTTTCAAATATCCAATTTTATCCAGATAATAGAAATCAATTTTCTTGGTTAACTTGGTCAATATTTGTCTTTCAAATATTGGACCGTTGAACATATGCCTGCTGAGCAAATTACAGATAGCAGCTTTTACTTGCATGCAGTTATCTGGAAAGAGATGATAGTTTCAGTTCTTTGTGTATTGGTTAGCAATATCATATGTTTCTTCTCTCTCTTGCCTGTCTGGGTTCCTAAATTAAATAGCTTATAAATGTGCTGATTTTTCTATTTCTTTTTTTCCTTCTTGAACCTTGTACATGTGAAAAAGAATGCCTGATACTTGTGTGACACTAATTTTTCTGTAGTCCTAGCATTCTTATAAAGCACATTCATTCTGCAGGCCAGATATATCTGAACTGGAGCTAAAGCTCTCTGAGCATTCAAAGAAACTGACAAATTTGCAACAGATGGTCCAGGAGTTAGCATCTAAGGTATTTTTAAAGCAGATAGCATTATGAGCTTGCTTATTTTTTGCACGAACATACATTACAGGGAAATGTGCATTGCTGTGAGAAGAATCAATCAGTTAGAGACATTCTGAAATGACAAGGCAAACTCTGACATTCATATATTTGAAATTGCTGCACCTGAGCTTCCTGCAAACTCGGGTTTCTGAGCATATTCCAAATGAGTTTGCAATTGATTCTTAAGGATGGTTTATGAATGAAGCATCAGATAATTGATTTTTTGACCATGGATATGTGCTTTTCTTGGTGAAACCTAAATTTGTTTGTGTTATTTGTCTCTTAGCTTTTTCTTGTTTACTAAAATTGGTTTCCATAAATTTTATACAGTATGATTACAATCCTAATGAAGACTATACAGAGGTAGAGTTAAAGCTGAGGTCACATTTGGAGTCTTTCCTCGAAACTGTGAAGTATTTCAATTTAATTTATACGAAGGTAACACTGAGCCTTCTGAAATATTTTCTCTTGAAGATTTGCTATTTGGTTTGTTGTCTTCTTGGTTTCAAGAATGTCCAGCTCTAAGGGAAAAAATTGATCTGAAGTATATTGAAAGCAACATTTTTGTCTTTGATAGTTTAGCTCACCATGGAAAACTTGTTGACACTGAGACCCATGTGTCTTGGTTTCTTTATGTAAACAATACAGGAAATCCGTCCTTGGACCCACATGATGGAGGTGCCACAATTGCATGGGTTTGGCCCTGCTGCTAACCGTCTATTAGAGGCTTATAATACGCTTCTGAAGGTATATTTAGAATTTTCTACTTTTAGCCCACCGAAGGTTAAAATTCAATAGTTGAACCATCTAATGGTCAATTTCATGAAAAACGTTTCTCTTTTTCATTTATTCTCATTTAAGGTTCATTCTTTTTCACTAAAGATCCCCCTTATACACTTTTTGCCTTTTGTTTCAAACATCTCATAGAGACTACACAACGTGTGTGATGTAAGGCAAAAGGTTTGTACAGGATACAGTGATCCTTAAGCTAAACAAAGCACAAAAAAGGGTATTTTGATAGAGGGAAAAAGAACAATGCTAACTAAAATGATATTGTTATGACACCATATGTTCGGACAAGTATGATGGTCCCTACACTGATTTTGAATGTACTTTTTTCAACTTTTTTTTCGAACTTCTTTTTTCAACTTTCAAGAATTCAAAGATATACCAAACTTAATAGGTTCACCTGGATTAAATCTAGTTTATATAAGTATATGCGATAAAGCAACTTTGATATACAGTTTTACTCTTCTATTCTTCTTTTCTAGTATCGGTAGTGGTGGATCATAACAAAACATAGTTGGACTGCCATACAATCAATCAAGCACTAGAATGAAGTCGACATCTGAATATGCTCGCCCTTGCCGATTTCTAGAAAATAGTTCCTGTACTAAGATATCTTTATATTGTCATTTATTTAGCATGACTGATGAGGAATTGATATATTTGACAAGTTAGAAAATTCAGGTCTTCCATAAGAACAGTTCTGTTACATAGTTCCTTACTGATTGACTTTGGCATATGCAGTTTTTGGGAAACTTGCGAAGCGTACGAGATTCATATGCAGCTATGTCTGTTGGATCACTATCGACGACAACCGATGAGCCATCCTCTATCACGAAAATAATTCTGGATTGTGAATCTGCTCTGACATTTCTAAACCGCAGCCTCTCCATCCTTTCTACTTCTGTGGCTAGGGAGCAAGGAAAGACCCCATGAGTTTGTAAACAGTTAGTATGTACAGATGTCACGGCAAATTCAATTTTCTTTCCCTGCAACTGCGTGTGTTCTTTCATGTTGAGAGAAATGCCAGCGAAAATTAGTGACATGGGAACAACATGAGTTCAGTCTTCTTGACTTTGCCAAAACCTCAGACTCCATATGTTAGCAGTGGAAATATATAGCATGGTATGTTAGTTATCTGATCTGATGAATTTTCACTCTTTCGTCGAGAGCATAAAATTAATGACAGTGTTGCTTCACCATGTTTATAGCTCGTCGCTCATCAGATCAATCACCTGCTGCATCTTTTTCCATCACATGATGCTTTTCTGAATTGAAGTTTCAATAATCTTTTTAGAAGTGTAAGTTTGCCAAATTTTCACTTGCCATGAAATCCGCTCCGATCTCATCCGCCACTCATGGCATGTGTTCAACGTGCGCGCACATCTACGAACAAAGGGCCAAAGACGGATCCAAAGAACGTCCAAAGCATCCCAGTGGTAGATCTTGTAAATTATTCCAAATCGAAGTGGTATTTAACTTAGCCAACCCCTCGTGTCTCTTCCCCGTGCGTCGTCGAATCCTACCGGGCAATTAGGGCTCCCAGAAATCTTGGTTGCGTCCCGACTCCGCGCGACGATGTCGACCTTCAGCGGCGATGAGACCGCCCCCTTCTTTGGATTCCTCGGAGCCGCCGCGGCTCTCGTGTTCTCCTGTAATATCTCGAGATCTATGCTTTTCTAGGGCTCTGTCGTGTTGTGGGTATTCTTTCTTTGATCTGAAAGGTTCGGTTTTGACTGGTGGTTTTTGTCGAGTGTAGGCATGGGGGCGGCGTACGGGACGGCCAAGAGCGGAGTCGGGGTGGCGTCGATGGGAGTGATGCGACCGGAGCTTGTGATGAAATCCATCGTGCCCGTTGTTATGGCCGGAGTGCTCGGGATCTACGGGTTGATCATTGCGGTTATTATTAGCACCGGGATAAACCCCAAGGCGAAGTCGTACTACCTCTTTGATGGGTACGCGCACCTCTCCTCGGGGCTCGCCTGTGGTCTCGCTGGCCTCTCTGCCGGAATGGCGATTGGGATCGTCGGTGATGCCGGAGTCAGGTAACGCTTTTGATTCTATCTAGTCTTCTTGTCTTTACGGTAATTAGTTTTTCTTCTTTTTAGTTAATTGTCTGGCAAACTAGATGATCAAGTGCTTTTACCTGTTGTTACATTGCCGTCATTATTCACGATCAGTGTCTTCTAGCTTTGTGTTGCTTTGATTTGTTTTGCTGCCCAATTAAACAAGTATTTTAGGATGTCAGTTTTTATATTTTTGGTATTTTTATTATGATTTTTTTATTTGTTTCTTGATATATGCCTGAGACTTCCAGTTTAGATATCTATTAAGACTTGTATACTATGAGCCTATAGAAGGCTTGAATACTCCTAACTTGAAATAGCTCAATAGAACTCAAACATCTTGATATATGGAGGGTAATTTTCCGAATCTTAAATTTATTTGTCTATTCTGTTTACTGATTTTTTTTGTTTGGGTTCTATCAAGAGTCACACGTATTTTGACCATTCTTGTATAAGGGATGTTCATAAAATGGAAGTCTTGGCCCGAAGTAAGTGGTCTGTTTCTGTATTTGGTCCATCCATGTTACTTCTTTTTTAGGATGGTCTTTTAATGAAAGTTTGATAGGGAAATATTATTACCTTGCATGCTACCTTGTATGTTGTGTCATGTCAGCTTGCATGTCTAACAATGTGGTTGCATGGATACTTCTCATTTTGAGCATACTGAACACTGTCAATTACGTGCATTATTCTGATACAGGCAAGCAGAGAATATGCTAGATTGTCAGAAAGTGGAAGAAGTCCTATCATTATGTAGTTTTTTCTCTGTGTCCCTATCTAATCCATTCTTGGGCTTCTTAGTTACCCCATATCCTGTTGATAAGCCCATTTTCCTTGTCCTTTCTTCCATTCTTATATCGCCAGGTGAGTATGCATTTAAGACAGTGTTCTTAACTTCATCGTTTGAGTTGTATTTTTAGTGATGGGACCTCTGATCATATCTGCTAGAGCACCACCACGACCATGCCACTTGCTATGGCAGATCCCAGACTCCCCTCTCTCTATGTGTCTTGCACTTAATTTGTATAGATTGCATTTATACTTGTATGCAAATGGTTCATGCATCTATGCTTTACTTATGCAATCGTCTAAGTCAAACATCTTAACATCATGCTACTCGTACTCATCTATGGTTTAGCATGCAGAGGCTAGTCTTTGTTCCCCGGTCTCATTGCTTTCTCCTTCAAATTGTGTTCTTTTGTTGCCCTGTTGATTCATTGAGCTTCATGCTAAGTTGGGGACTTATTTAATTACCTCACTTATGCCAAGTACATGATTTGAGACAATCCAAGATTGTGAATTCTTTCTGTCCCAACATCTATCTTGGGCCTTGTTCAAACATGACATCATGAACAAACAGGAGGATTGGGTAATCATATGTTTTAGGTTGGTAGTACTATATGCACAGAGACTTCATGCATTGCTGAAAAATAATTTATTTATTTTTAACTATAATTGACTTGATAAGTAAATTATTGAGATAAAATATGATTTACAATTCAGGAGTTTCTTAACAGCATTTGAGTCATTCTCTCTGGACCCATCTTTAGGATTGTCATAGCAAACTGTGTCGTAGATAGGCTGATGTTTTTGGACTTGTGACCTAAAATGCTATATTAGGAATGAAATACCTATGTTCAAAATTCTGGATTTATGGTATTATACTTGGAATATGACATGTCAATGTTTAACTGGAGTCCATTTATTAGCAACTTATTGGAGCAAACAGTTAATTTTAGTTAGGTGCTCCAGTTTTCTTATATCTGTTTTTTACCCATTTGATAATTGACTTAGAATATCTTTTTAGTTCATGTTTACTTGTTCCTTATTTCTTAACCAAGTAATCAACCAAGAGATGTAAATTTAATCTGGGATATCAGAAGTAAGATCAAATCTAGCTTACGTTCATTTGTAATATTGTGAATCTTGACCCATGTCCTGTTTCCAAGTCCTGATGAGCACTGAAAGTGGATTGGCTGTAAGCGTGGAGTGGAGATAGGATGAGAAGAGGTGACAAAAACACACGTTCCATTCAGTTGTTTACACACAGTCGGAATAAACCTGTGTCCTGTACCACTCGCACTGGCAAAGTACAGCTACTTTTATGAAATTAGATTCAAAACTGATCATTCTGAAAGTGGCACACTGATTTCATTTTATAATATCAAAGTTATATTTATTTTTGTGCATGCCACATGACATTGTAAATGCATGTCTATTGCAGGGCCAACGCTCAACAGCCGAAACTATTTGTAGGCATGATTCTTATTCTCATTTTTGCGGAAGCCCTTGCTCTCTATGGTCTCATTGTTGGAATCATCTTGTCTTCTCGGGCTGGTCAATCTCGGGCAGATTAAGAAAACATGATTGCTATGTCATATTCCGTGCCCCTATATGTCACTGTGGAAACAAACAGGTGTTCCCTTTAAGCTTTATGATCACACACTAATATTTGTTTGGCACGTTACTGGCATGAGTCGTCGGTTGACGGCTGTTGAATTCTTATTCTTAATAATGTGATGTTTTGATCGATCTTGTAAGGTAAGGTTAGGGACCTTTTGCTGCAAATAACATGAGGTCAGCAACTGCGAAGCACAAGGATTTGTATAGTTATTCAATAATTCTCGTATGGATCAAATTGCTGAATATGGTGGTCTGTTCTTCCATTTTGCTTTCATTTAAAGTTGAGTTTTAGTTAAATTTTAACAAATATTTTGCTGGATTAGTGTATAACATGCCTTAAATAGCCTCGTGTTCCTACACAAGCAGTATTTGTGGAGGACCACAAAAAAAAACCTGAATGTTCTATAAACTTGGCAATGCAGCAGAGATGCAAAGAAAAAGAAGGAAATATAGCTCACTTGAACTTCTTGTTCTTCCAACTGTGGCCAGACTTTTTGGGACATAACAGAAACATGCGATTGACATCTAAAAGAGCAACTGCAAAAAGTCGCCTCCCCGAGGTATAAGGTTTGTAAGCAGATTTAAAGTTGTCATAGCCATAGGTGAAGTTGATCCATAACCCATATTTATGGATCGCTGAACAATAGAAAGATAAAGTTGTTATAGCCATAGGTGAAGTTGATCCATAATCCATATTTATGGATTGCAGGACAATAGAAAGAGTGCAGATCTCATAATCTCGTAGTGCTGTTTCCGGCCGATCGCAGTTATTTTGTCCCTCTCTCTCTCTCTCTCTCTCTCTCTCTCTCTCTCTCTCTTCTCTTCTCTTTAGATTTAAAAGATGAATCTTCACACTTCAACAAAATTGTTGCATTGTCCACATATCACTAGTAATTTATATTTCGCACATGCATTGATCAAGCCCTCATCAACCTGTTGTATGACAATCTTGCCTATCAGGATTCCTGTGAACCAAAGGGGTTACCCAAACCCTAATATACACGCAGTTTACAACAAGCTTTTGTTCTTTGACCACCACAATGAACGACTTTGAGCCCGACGTGATCAGGTTTTACATTTCTGATTAAACAGCTTAGAAAAAATAACACCAAAACAGAAAAGAGGCAATCGTCGACTAAAGAAAAGACCTTTGTCCGTGGAAGCAGAGTTTTGGCATCATCTGACTAAAAAAAAGAGCCCCTCAAGTACCCTTAAGGAGACCCACGACGTTTAACAGCACAGCTTGTTTCACTGATGGCTTCCATGTGTTTGATCTGCACATGCACAAGATGTGAACAAAAGTTTGGTTGGGGAAAGAGTATCCCATAACATCCCACATAAGTGAAAAAAGTATAACAGCTCCTGTAAAAGAATTATAACCAACCTCCAGGTGTGTCAGCATGTGGTGCAAATTGTGATGAAAGCATCCCCACAACAGACCTCAATGCATCTGATACTTGCTCAAGACCACCGCCAAAATTCAAGCTTGCATTTGCATCAATTCTTACCTCAGGTTCACTTGATTCTCCCATGTTTCCACTATTTTCCTGGGTGGCTGAATCCATGTTGACATGTATATTGGCAAAATCGGTGGGAACAGAAGAATTCATGGTGAATGATGTGAACAGTGGGCTGCTGTTTGCTGGCGTCGATGCTTGTGAAGATGAATCTTGGCCATGACCCGGAGCCATGCTCCTGAAGATGTTAGCAACAAATTCAGGGGTGGGAGCACCTATGGGAAACGATGCAAATGGGAAGCTATTATTGTTTGTAGACCCTGCTGATCGTGTGTTTGATCCTTGGCCATGATGTGACCTTCTATTCTGTAAAAAGTAGCAGAGGTAAATAGCAATACTGTTAACACAGCTATAATTTTTACAAGCTGCACTACTTTCATGGGAATGATGGAGAAATAAAAAAGTCATAACCAGTTAATGTCACAAAACCCATCCCTACCAATCCATAATCAGGCTGGTTTCCAATACCCATGACGGCCCTTTTGATGAATGTTCCTATCATCCTGTAATGATTTTGCGGAGGGTTCAGGCAGGTTGATGCAATAAGAAACTTCGACTCTAGGGCATATGTTCAGTATTTGACCACTAGCCATAGTCTAGTAGATGACATTTTGGTATTTTTGAGATAATACAAATACACTAAAAATACAGCACCAATAAATGGAAAATCTGTAGTTTAAGGTTATTAAGCTACGAGTGCAAAACAAATGAGAAAAGGCAGAAAATTTTAGTTGAACAATAAAGAACCGCATCGAAATTATGTAGCAAATTGTAGAGGACAAACCAAAGAAAAAAAATATAACAGTTCTAGTTTAATCATATAGCTTAGACCAAAAGTTATCAGGATTACAATATTTAAAATGGTATCAAATATAGGTGCGATCGGTACACACAGACTGGTATTTACCAGTCCAACTAAGGATCAATACAGGATCATATATTTTGGTACCTGTCAGTACTTACTTTATTATTATTAATTTTCAGTCATCCCAAACAGTACATGTCAGTATACTACTCGATATAAAAGTATCGTACCAGTCTAACAAGTCATCAAAACCAATATCGTACCAGTCTAACTACTCGATATAAGAGGTCAGTATCTGTACAGGACATATAAAATCTAATACATAAAACCTCTAATTACCTGATCTGTTTCAGCCTGCTGTTCCATCAGCCTTTTCTCAGTTACCTAAGATTTGATGTGCACAATAGATGAAACAAGATATCTAAAATCAGAGAAGAATAAAAAGATGAATCAGATGCTTACAATTTAAGTTTAACCATACCTGAATGTTCTCTCGAATTGTGTTGTTATTTGGGTCCAACTCCAATGCTACGAGAGAAACCAGCTCAAGGTTACAATGATAACCACAATGTAAATGTGTTAATATTGTGCAGGAAGAAGCTTCATTGCTCAGAGCAAAAACAATAATTATGTATGAAATTTCTATCATGGTGTTAAACACAACTCATGCTTAAAGAATAATATATCACATAGAATGTCAAAGTTATTGGATTGTAACACTTTTCAGAGATCTCATGAAACAGATCTAGGTGCAAGTATAATGGTGACACGTCTTGGCTACAAATGTAACAGGGGAGTTGATGAGGTTCATACTTGAAATATATCGAGATTATAAAAATAAATTAAAATTCCCTATTTACAATTTAGTAGAACTGATAACAGAAGGTTTGTGTAGTCTTTAGGAATTTGCGAGTACAAACATAGATTTGATGAACTAAAAATGCTAGAAGCAACTAATTGTGATGAACAAGATTCGAGCTTTTCCAATAGGCTCACTAGTGGGTTTGGTAAAACATTAGATTGAAAAAAAAAGGGATTTGTGCTCGACCAAAAAAAGTGGGCCAACAGAGAGAATGGAACGATGTTGCAAAAGCATTTTCTATTTAGTATCAGGATAAGGTCGTGAAAAAGGATTGGTTAGTAAAAAAACCATATTGGTATTTATTTTTGGTCGATGGATAGAATTGAAAATGGATATCAAGCAAATACCAAATTACGTAACATAATTGTTTCAAGCAGATATGAATACAAACTGGATATATAAAACACATACGGATTTGCAATAGAATTTTGGGTGATAGTGGATGTGGATGTCATATGAATCTATGATAACAGAAAAATAAGATATTCCGAGACTAATTCAATTCTACCAATCATATATCTAACATAGAAAAATTTTAGATAAATATGCAAAACATAAGAATCATGAGAAAAATGTACTGTAAACTAAAATCAATCAAATATTAACTTTTCTCAAGTACATGTCAATTTAATACTTGGATATATTCAAATATTTAAATATTTCAGCTATGTTTGAAACTCAACCTACGTCCACATCAGAAATATTTTGGGCACCCACGTTTATGGGACTCCACTTGGACATGGAAACAGAATTTGATAGATAGTGCATAGTTGCACAATCAATCCTTCCTTAGATTATGGTATTATCTGGTTCGATATGATGGGCTAATGCTAGGGTTGGAAAATGTGTGAAAAAAGGCTAAAAAATCACCCCCCACCCCCAAAAAAAACAAACATCCTATTTAGAGTTCTTTCTCCTTTTCTTCATCTATACAATCAAATTAGATAATATAAAAATAAATTTAAACTGTAAAACAATAAAATACAAAATTGAAACATATATCAAATAAAGATTAGAAGCAGTACAAAAGAATACATATACAAACTAAAAAAGAAAGGAGTTATAATTAATATTTATGAATAATAAATGAGATGTAAAACCAAAACATATACCTACTCGGACCGATATCAGTTCGAGCCAGGACCAATACAGGTCAGGTACCCGAGATGAATATTGTAAATTCCTTGCAAAGCTCGTACCACCAAAATAAATGATGTGAATCAATGGCAGATGGATCGGGATCCTTCACCTCATAAAATTGTATATTAATATGGTACATATGCAGGACCCAGCATGGAACTGCTATCCCTACATCTTGATACTAATAAACTATATGCCGTTGTTGCAACAACATGGTATGGACCCATACCAAGTGGTAAGCCTGGTGCAAGCCCAATGTCAGGTGGTAGGCGTAACACTGGGCTTAAACTGTGCTCAGTTTGCATTGGTCTGCATCCTGATCGACAATTGGAGTGCTAAATACTGATTGTACTAGACTGAATCAAGCGGTCTAGCCCTGGGTGGCTTGGCAATCGTGCCTGGGTAAATGGATTATGTTTAACCAAGTAGCTTAACCCTACACCCTGAGTGGTGTGATGTATCCTCTCTCGCAAGAACCATACCTCAGCACTTGCTTCTCCTCCTTGTGTGCAAGGCAGCCGATGACCAGTGATCAGCATTTGTGCGCAAGGTGCATGTCGATATGCTAGAATGGTTCGAACCTGTACCAGTCTGACTATGGACTGGCATGAGTATAGTACCTGAATTAGAAACCTTGCTCTCAACCCACCCCAAACCCAAAATATTCATATCATTGTAAGATAGTGTTTATTAAATACAATGGATTATCTAAACTAAATATAATTTGCTGTCTCAATCTTTGGATTTGATATCTATAAATTTAGAACTGAGAATATAAAAGAATAACAGATGTCATAAGATTTGCCAAGCAACACAGGTAGAAGATAAGAAGCTTGTAATTAAAGAACCAAGCAACACATTGAGGCAGTTCACTATCTGGTCAAAAAAGGTTAATAGAGATTAGAGAATAACATATAAGAATAAAGATTTAAGAAACATGAACAGGTAAATAATGGAGAAAAGGGAGGGGTATAATAAGTTCACAAAAAACAGAACTTCTGAATATACAGAGTTGCAAATTTCACGACTCCATTGACCATCTCCTGGAAGCCAAAGAAAGAAAAGGAAATTGTCCCATGTTACACAGCTGAAAGATTTCAAACTTGGATAATGAAAATGGATGCATGAAGTGTCTCATTGTAGTAATTCATAAATTTAAGTAGAACAGTGAGTCAATAAATGCTGATGCAACCAGGATCCAGTATTATGTACCAAGACAATCCAAATGTCAAAAACTAATAAAGAATCATGAAAAGCATACAGAAACTTCTTTTTATCATATACAAATAGCTCCACAACACTTGAAAAAAATTATCAAATGCCAATATTCAACTAATAGTATCCAGCGTAATAGATATTCTAATAGATTCACTTAAGACAAAAGAAAGATAATCCTAAAATCTAAATGCACAGAAGAAGAGATGACATATAGCTCGAGAATACAAATTGCACATAGCAAATTTTAGTTGACTAGAATGGAAAAAGAGAGTAACCTCTCAGATAACCCTTTTCTAGAGCATCACGGTAATTTCCTTGAGCGAAATATGCCGAGCCAAGGCGACTATATGCTTTGCTATAATTTGGATCAATTTCAATTGACTTTAAGCAGTCTTCAATAGCTTCAGAATATTTCTTAATATTAGTATATGCAGCAGCCCTGGAAACAAAATATAATATTGTTAGCTTGTCAAACTTCTAGTAAAGTTGCAAAGAGCTTACAATATACATTGGGGCATAAAAAATGACAAAGGAAAAGAAATATAATGAATGAAAGGCAGGGAAAAAGAATACTAAAGCTGTCTTCACTTTAGACCAAACAAAACAATCTCCTGGAACAGAATACACTAAAGAAAATAAGTTATATCATAAACCCTTCCAACTTTATGTCAAAAGGTGAAAAGGGACTAGGAGTAGGGAACGGTGGAAGGGGTAAGGGAAAAGCAATCCTGATCCGGAAAGATTTTCAATGAAAAGGGGCATGAGCTCTAAACAAAATCTAACGTTCTTCCACTGTTTCTCACAGTCCATATATTTTTACTTATTATTTCATTTCATGTGAGAGAAAAAAAAAATCAAGAACAACACTCAGGAGCGGGATTATATCAGATAAAGTTGTCAAACTGAACAGGCGGGAATTTGCACTCATCACTAGAATCAGCTGGTCAATTGTTAAGATTGAGTGAAATATAACACTGAGAAATTGGGGGTATCATGGATTAGATATTTATGTAAATATAAATAGAATCTTCAATAAGTGCTTCAAGGCATAAATAAAATAAAAATAAATTTCATATCAGCTATGCTCCAAAAGCTTATGAAGATTCTATGTGAACTACCAACAATGACGAGAAACAAAGATATCATTTTCATAAGATTCTGTATTTGCTAATCCATGGATAAAATATTTAAATGACAGAATGCTCCCTTGTCTTTGGAAATGCATTGTGCAATAATTCCATTTATGAAAATAAAAATATTTTAGTAATAAATGAGTCAAGAACTCAAGATATATGCTAAATTTAAGCAATGAAATAAAAAAAATGGGAGTTCCTCTACAAAGTGGTGCATCAGCACAGTAAAAATATGGGAGGCTGCTGTCTTCACAATATGAAGATTTAGGTAAATGAGAACCCATCTGTGACAATGATTTCCAGCATACTTTGCATACTGAAAATGTCAGAATTGTAGGAGCAACAAACCTCCAGAACTTCCCCCAATTTCTACTCTATACCCTCCTGACAACTGCTGATCCCACCATGTCGGGTATCATGAGAATAGGCTGGTGGACATCCATACAAGTGCAAATAGTACAATTGACACAAACGATGAGTTCATGAATTCCATTAAAAGTTTCAGTAAATTGTGCTGGCTTGACTGACAGATCAGTTCTTACCTGTTACTGTAGTAAACAGCCTTCTCACATATTGCAATTGCACAGGTATACAGTTCAATAGCTTCAGAGTATAGCTTCATTCGGATGCAGTCATTACCTGATGAATGTAGTGAGTTAAAGAAATTTGTATTACTAAACAGATGCAGATGTAATTTAAACATTGAACACCCATATCCAGAAACAAAACAACACTGGAACGAATATATCATATAGATGCTAGAACACACCAAATCTGTCATCTGATTTTTGTTGATTGCCATAGGAAGAATGAGTTCCAGACAATATAACAGGAGAATGACAGTACAAAAACCATCTAGTCACAGTAACAATTGCAATGAAAATACACCATTAACTTAATTTTTCATCTTAAAACATTGAGTACCTTTTGACTTAAAGATTTCAGCAAGGTTGCTCAAGTTCATAACTTGCCTCTGCGAGCTTCCTATTTCCTAACAAGGAGGAAAACTGCTACAATCAATCATGAACATTATCATATAATACAAATTAAAGCAGAAAAATGAACATAATTTCCACATCAATTGTGATCTCTGATGATTGCTAGCTCATTGCTTGCATCTCCTACTGCTATTAGTTAAAAACTGAATTGTGAGAATTGTAAGAGTATCCTTGAACCTCAAACAGAAGTATCTAAAATTAAGCACAAGCAGATTTTATGTGATGAAGATGCTAGATCCTCACAGGAACTACACTAATATTAGGCATGTGCCTCGCATGTGATAGCACCTGTTTTATATGAACAGTTTATCTATTCTGAAGTAGTGACAACAAGCTTCATAACATTGGACAGAGACCATTCTTATAAAAGAGATAGAAATATACTTAATAACCCTATTTTTGTTCATTCCAGAACCATACATGGTTGGTCAAGAGAGATTCATTATATAATGCAAATTGAAGATAAGAATGTGGGTAGCATTTTCTGTAAGTGCACCCTCAATTAGTGTTTCCTAAATTTCCTTTATTTCTTCTGCACCTAGAAGAGTGTGGCCCTTATACTTCACTGCCCTTACAAGTTGTTAATCTGAAATTTACTTTACCATTTAGTAATTTACATAAAAAACTGAATCTATTTTGAATAGACCAAAGGCTCCAAATTTAAAGGTGAAACCACTGAGCATCTTATTGTTATTATTGCATCAAGCAAGGACAACATGGTCTTGGTTTTTACCACTTTTAAACTAATTGTAGAAGATACTTTTACTTTTGGATGACTAGTTCAACTGAGCAAGTAAATCAAAGACATTCTGGCCTGAAACATTAAACTAAGCAAAAGAGATTGATCCATGTATATGCTTTAGAAAGATGTCTGTTTGCATGTTTATGAATTTTACATCGATGCACAATATAGCATGAAAAACGCATACCATCCATGCTTCATCAAACAATTGTGTTGCTTTTGCTATTCGGTTTGGGTCTTCAGGTCCACCAGGTGAGCTCGTGAAGAAATTGATTTTATCAAGTCCAGCATAGAACCTACCAAATAATTCATCTCTAGAGACAGCTCCTGCAACATTGAAAAATTCCAAGTATTGCAAAACAACCTGAACAAATAACAAAAAATAAAAAAAGGAACTTTGATCATAAAGAATGGCATAATTTGATTACGAAGGAATCAAGATTGAATCTAGAATACAAGATAGTTATAATAAAATGGTAAAAAAGGCACAAAACTATAAATAAGCACTACATAACAATCTACCATATTTCAGAACACCTAAAAAAGGTACGTTCCTGAATGGTTGAATCCACAAGTAAAGAAATTGATTGGCTATGCAAGCCATTCAGCAAATAACAAATTCTTATTCCAGCGGGAAAAGAATGGCTAATATAGTCGAACCAAAATTCTCATCTGTGCAGACAAGATTACTGTTAAAATATGGGGCCTTAGATAATGAAGTAGCTAAGGTTCAAAATACTAGTCAGACCGCAACATCCTTGGTATTAACTAGTCTAATCAAGGACCGGTATCAGACCATACAGATCAACATTTCCAGTATTTAATTATTTATAATTTCTTCAATGACACCAGATGGTACAAATGAGTCTACCTCCCAGAATACTAGTATCATATCGGTCTAGTTGCTGAAACAGGTATTAGACCACTATTTAAAACCTTGATATTAATGTTGTATTCCATCAACAGAAAAAAAACTTCATTGTTTAAGACTTACAGCCTCACAACATAATATGTTATATAAGAAGAATTATAAAAAAAATAGAGCTCCAAGTCTCAATTTCTTTCCTATGCAACAAAGAATAATATAGAACATGGACATAAATCATAAGAAATGACATGCTTGCTGCCACAAGAATGGAAAATGCCACGTCAATAATGATAAATTGCAAGAAACAATCCATATAGCAGCTCCTAATTACTTTGTTGCTTATAAATCAGTTTGTTGCATTAGTTGTGTGGTAACTATAGTTACTGATGGATTTCTTTGTCTATAGAGGAGTCAAGAACTTCAAAATTAAAATTGCATCCCAACATGAACATGATGAAGCTAGACCATTGATCCAATTGCATGATTCAAGTCAATCAGTGAGTTGGATACATTATCCACTACCAGCATGGGAAGCATCTTTTTCTTAACTGATATAATTTGAACTACAATTTATTGGAGACCAGCGATAGTTTTCTTGAAGAATATGCAATGAATAAATGCATTGGCAATGTTTTAAATAATTTCTTTCCTTTCCATACAAAAGTTTTAGAAGTTGACTTGATCAACAAGCTGAGAAACAAAAGCAAAATAAAACTGTCCAAAAATGTGATTCAAGTCAATCAGTGAGTTGGATACATTATCCACTACCAGCATGGGAAACATCTTTTTCTTAACTGATATAATTTGAACTACAATTTATTGGAGATCAACGATAGTTTTCTTGAAGAATATGCAATGAATAAATGCATTGGCAATGTTTTAAATCATTTCTTTCCTTTCCATACAAAAGTTTTAGAAGTTGACTTGATCAACAAGCTGAGAAACAAAAGCAAAATAAAACTGTCAAAAAATGTTATAGACCTAAGGACAACAGATACCATTTTAGATTTAAATTATTACCTAGGCCATGGAGCCCTCCAGCTGAACCTTCACCCTGACCGATAATAGGAGAAATTAGACAGAGTTCATTACAGGACATTAATAATAATAACAATAATGATAATCAATAATAATAATCATAAAAATGAGCACCAGGAGAAAAACAATGCTCTTTCGAAATTTCTTTTGTTTTCTAGGTTGCAACCAGGTTTGTAAAAGTAAACAAAGCAACAAAAATCCAACTGGCACATGACAGTAATTAGCATATAGCACTATTATCTTTGCATTAGAAACAACCGAGTAATGATCAGCACTGTATCTTTGATTTAAAAACAGCCAAAACCTGATAAATATCAAATAGATTAGAACAATCTGTGACAAATTGAGGATCTATCAGATGGAAAAAAATGCATTTATTCTAAAACGACAACTGAATTAGTCATATCACAAAAGAGTGGAAAACTAAAAATATCTATCTGCAGTTCTGCACTAACCAAAATGAACTTTAAAGTTTAAACTTTATTATCTGACTAATAAATTTAAAAGCCTTACACCTTACTGTCATGGACTTAGCTGGAATTGCTTAAGTCGTGAGACACCCTTGCAGCGATGTCACAGACTAAACTGGAATTGCCTAAATTGTGAAGCACCCTTGTACCAATGTCACAGACTTAGCTGGAATTGTCTAAGTCGTGAGACACTCTTGCGCTAATGTCATGAACTTAGCTGGGAAGCCTAAGTCATGAGGCACCCTTGCGTTATCCGTCCGCAAGGGGTCAGTCTAGTTGCAACCTCGCTTAGTTCCGAAGGATTTGTAAAAGAGTAAATTGATTAGTTTGAAAGCGAACGATGGATAAGTCTCGACGTCTCGCAAAGAGGATAACTTTACAAGCAATTCAGCAAACACTCGATGTACAAGAGGGAAAAGAGAAGGAGAAAATAAGCGCTTTAGAAGGCAAACGAACAATCGCAAGTTCACAAACGATTACTCATCGTGTGTCAGATGCGATGACAAGTTCTCATAGGCTTTACGTGCGAACTTGTAAATTCAATCAATGCCCAACACTACCCTAAACCCTCATCAAGTCCTGTGCCACTTGGGGGGTTCCAAGGTGCTTGGATGACTTATATTTTGCACCACACCACAGCCTATAGAAAACAGGCCATGGCACGAGAAAGTTGGGCTATTTTGGGGCATTTTTGCCTATTCTGGTGAGCAGTCGCTCTACAGCGTTGCAAACTATTCCTACTCACAGTTTCCAAGCAAAAATTCATAAAAACAAAACAAAACATGCTGCCAAACATATGAACAAGCAAACAAAAACGATAAACGGTCCGTTGACGAAGATGTTGCGGGTGCGTGACAACCGTTCGTGACATTACAGTGGGGGATGTGATTTAAAGCAGCGGAATTGGTCATAAACAATTAGACAATATTTGTAATAAAACTTGATTGTGCTCCACAACAAGTAAAAAATACAGGAATCTAATAAAGGAAAAGAAATTGTAGAACTAAAGTATGAAAAATCTCAAAATATTTATACCATTACAGCACTAATAAATTTATTAAAGATGTTGAGCACAATAATTCTGACGTGTGTGCATTCATTGTGCTCTTTTCTTTTTTTCTCTGTTTCATTCCCTTCCATATTTATATTTGACAAAGTTGTAATGTCTCCTTTAGAAATTTTAATGCACATGTTGGCTATACTTACAAGTAAGTTAAAAAGGTTGCTCATAGCATAGAACTATATGCAATTTAATAAGTGCAATTAAGATAAACAATGGATGGGCTAGCCAAAGCCCAAAAAAGCTTGGATTGGGCTTAAATACCTGTTAGCATTGTCACAGTACACAGTTGACCTTTGGTCGGAGATATGTAGATCAGGTGTCAGTCACACCTACACATACTCTCATGCCAAGGGCTATCTCCTTTCTCCAGCTAGCATGTGCGTCAATGTGGCTCGCATAAATAGCAATGATCACTCACTTCTCCCTCCTTTCTCACCCACCCACCAAAGAAACCAACGCCACCCCACTCCACCCCACCCCCAACCCCCCAAAAAGAGAGAGAGAGAGAGAGAGAGAGAGAGAGAGAGAACAAAGTCATCTCACATGGTCTATCATGCATTACCATGCCACTAACCTTAATCTTCTTGTGAAACTCGATGAACACCTTGCCCAACCCAATCCATATGACATGCAGGGGTTGGGTTAATTTGTGGATTAGGTATTTGGGATATAAATAGAGCATAGAATGAGCCCTTAGCCAATCCAGTATCCAATGTATACAAGAAGCAGTAAACCAGAAAAAACAGGATACCTCTTCTGTGACAATTTACTAGGTCTGTGGAGTAGGAGGACAATAATCTTAAAGTTCCAGGATTTAGAAGAATGCTTGAAATCAAGTAGTTTCTACTTCCAACCACATCTTTCTCATTAATTAATTCTAGCTGCTACATGAAACTCATTCTTGGCATGCTCATTCACCTGCTGTTGACACACTGGAGGAAGAGCAGTCTTTTCTCCTTCCCTCCGCTAGCTTCTAATATCATTCCAAATTTAGCAGGTACCCCAGCTCTTAAAAATGAATTAACAAAGGGTTCCAAATAAGTTAATGCAGCATATCTATACTTCTATATTTCACATATCCATTAGAAACATTACAAAGAGAAACTAATATTAAAGTACACAGACCATGAACAGGAATCCACAAAAGCACAAAACAATGGCATATACATCAACTGACACAAAGTTATGAGAACGAAAGAAAAAACATACTTTTGATGCCTCTAACATTTCAGAATCTTCAGCTGCTTCCGGGGAATGTAATGTTGCATGGGATGTATCCCCTGCTGCAGCAGAATCCAGATATGATCTTAACTGGTGTTGACCAATTTCTTCTGATGTGAATAAATCCAACAGCAATCCAGGACATATCTTTTCACAAGAGGAGGAATCTAGCTTAAAAACATCTTCCAGACAATCTCTGACAACATCAATTGCTTCAGAATCAACTCCAGGAGCCATTTCAACTGTTCTCACAAACCATTTAGCCTATTAGCACATAAAGAGATGAAAGTCATTGCTATAATTAATTGTTTGTGAATTGATTAAAGCTTGTTGCTTGAATAAGCCTATAATATTGCCATAAAGGTCGTTATCAGGGGCGAAAACTAAGACACTCAAAAGAAACTTTTTCACCTTAAAATTTTATCAAATTATCCCAAAAAATGTTATAAAATTCAACAGATCAAGATGAGGTCATACAACTATCACATCACAAATCTTCAAATATAAAAGGCTGCCTGCCAGAAAGTTGGCCAATAACCAGTGCAAACATCTTAAGATTGTTTTGTTTGTATTGTTTATAGCCCACGTAAAGAGGCTTGTTCACAATCACCTGACTCCATAATAGACTCAAAGATTGAAATGAAAACAAATTAACGAGTGCACAAATGCTCAAACACTCCAATTTTTGGCTGTATCAGAATCTGAATTCTAATTAAAGGTGTTCAACGAAATTAGATACTAAACCAGTAAAGGGCCCACATCACTATTTTGCATACTGTGTTGGTCCTTTAGGATTAAGCACCTGCAGAGTATCAAGTAAATTAACTCCTCCAACTATATCCATTTGATATGATCAATATATAATTGAAACATCCTAATACTAACAAAGACTTGAATTTACTGAACTAAGCACCAATTAAACAACTCCTTTTAGCAACATCACTGAAGCCAATTTTAGTTTTCAGTGGTGAATCTTTTAATTTTCGGTGCAAGTTAGGGAAATGTTATGAACCAGTCAATTGGCCACAATCTAATGAATCATTCTTCAATCTAAAAGGTTGGTTGCAAAATATGTAATGCAATTGGTGATACAACGTTAAACTTTAAAATGGAGAAACTGACGTCTAGGTGTAGGTTGGGTCACTTTTAACAAAACGTAGAAAGATAAACCGCTGATCTCTAAAGGTACTTCATCATGATATTTTCACCAAGTTATGGTCATAATGAATTCCTGTTTTCATTTAGAAGGTCTACACATGAAACAGATGGCACATCATGAAGCCCTCTTTCTTTTCTTTTGGAGGCAAAAAAATGATAATCCTAATAATTCGTGTGCAGGAATTTAACTACCGCAAGCGACACTAGGGTTCTGCAGGTGCATTCGACGATGGAACTTCATCGAAGCAACTGTTTCTGTTACCGCGTCGGATCCCAAAATTACCAGCATTAGTCCCCGATATTTTAGCTTGTTATCCATCGGGCTTGAGAACCACGTTCGATCGTGGGTAGGATATTAAATGGAACGGAAGGGGGAGAAGGAGGAGAGAAGACGGACCAGATTGGAGGAAATCGAGGAAGGCGAGGACGATTCGGCGGCAGGTCGGGGAGTCTGACCGCAGGTTCACCATCTCCCCTTTGACTTGGGAACGGGGGCTTCGCTCCTCCCTTCGCGTTTGCTTGCGGCAGCGGCTTCGCTCTCTTCGACGGGAAAAAGGATTATTAGGCAGCGACGAAGTTCGTTCCTTCGGCCTCCGCACTCGGGTCGAACATCTGGTGATCCGATGACGGCTATGAGGGGATCCGCATACAATGGATCTTGGTCCACTTCACCCAAGGCTAAATTTTAGAGGAGGATTCTTGGATCGGCCCGGTCCACGCTGTTTCCTCTGGTTCAATCAATCACAATCATGCAGATCGATGGTGGAACTTAAACCTCAATTGATTCTGAGCTTTATCATTGATAGGATAGTGACGTGTCCCTAAATGAAAATTCCAAGACCGATGATCGATTAGAATCTTTTTTAATGCCTTCTTACTTTCATCTACGGTCCATTTCGGGCCGGTTTTTAAGTGTTCAAATAACAAAACAAAAAATTAGTTTGGTGGTAGGGCATTTGACTTATTTATTAAAATTCCATCTTATAAATTTACATGCTTTGATTAGCTCAATTGGCACAAAAATTGTATCAAATTATTGTAATGCTTGGGATAAAATCCTGCCTTCATTTTGAAAATACTAATTTTAGGATGCTGATTATCTTAGTTTGTAAGAATTATATCAAATTATTGCAATGGTTTTGGGATCAAATCTGGCCTTTACATATTTGAATAAAAAGAATGATGTGCATCAATATGACAATAGAACAAAAGAACAAAAAATTGTCAGTCAGATATTAGTTTAATTTATTCCAGGCGATACTAAGCATAACAAAAAACGCTGCATCTTAATTTAAGAGAATAAGGGATGAATGGGAAGGTAGAAAATCGAACCGATAGAATGATCAAAATCAAGAGTAGCATTGCATTTGTGAAAGATTTTCTACTATCAAACCAGAATAGCGAGATTATAGTGGCAAAAGAGAAGTGACCAGAAACTTTAGGAGAAATTTGCTCAACCATAGCTGACATGAAAGAATATTTTGATGTGATGATGACGGACTATGAAACTTCCTCGTAGTTCACTAGTGAAAATGGAATCCAATATATTCAACATGACTTTGAACCAGGTGATTCGCCCTTTGTATAATTCAGACAAATTAAAAGCAGTCACTGTCGAATATGTATACCAATGCACACACCAAGCACGAGGATATACACGTCCCAAATAAAGCAAAGACAGACAAACGATGATAATTGGTAATGTAAAAATTTTGGGCATCTCAAAAGAACATACACAGGAACAGAATCAGTCTTAAAGAGGTCACTAGTCCAAAAACTTGAAACCACTTGGAATCATAAGAGGAACAAACTAACGGTGCAAATCTCCATTTAAACAGAGAAGACAAGGCAGGCGCCATGGAACTACTCAAAAGATGCAGATGGTGCCCCTTGTCCATAGCCTCCACCACCACGGCCGAATCCTGGTCTGCTGCCGCCACCCTGCAAGGACTTGTGATTAGTATATCTCTCGACACAAAATCAATGGATACATCACCATCCACATCACTAAACAAATATGAAAGTTTTCACATTCTGTCCCCTCGAAGAATCACTACACAAATGTCATGTTTGTTCCCCCCTGGATTGAAAGAATTGAGTTTTGTTCAAGCTAATCATGATAGCTGATGACACAAACTGATTATATGGAGATAGCTGAAGACTTCAACATACCATGAAGTGTGCAATTTGGAGGGTTTCTATAGCTCTGTCCTCCTGGAGCATTTGTGCTTAATCTGAACTAACGATGTGGATTTACAAGAAAGGTAGCCATTCAACAATAGATCATTACTGCATCTTTAGGTTCCATAAAGAACAAGACACAAATACTTTATAAACATGCTAATCCTAGATAAGTAGGCCATAACATAGTATGAACACAACAATAAATAATCACACAAATACTTTACACACGACAACCTTAGCTAAGTAGGCCATGACCTAGTATGAACACAACAATAAATAATCATTTTCATATATTTGTAAAATTTTGTCAAAAAGATGCATTTTGATTTAGATAGTTAACAATTAATATTAAATTGATAATAAGAAGATCAATATTTTTACATAAATACTCAATTTTGCTGCTGCTTTTTTCTGTAAGTCATATCCTTAATTGTGTTCTCCCTTGATGGGCACTAAGCACCCACTCACTTTTTGGGTCATGGGCCATCCACCTGTTCCTGCTGTTGTGCCACACAATAGACACATTGCCACTGCCATTGCTACTACCTTAGCCACCACTGTGCTGTTTTCCTTTTCCTTGTGCCATCATCATGTGCTGTTTTCCTTTTCCTTGTGTCATCATCATGTGACGACTATTGCCCCTGCTGTGGATGAAGGGAAGTGCAGAAGAGAGGAGAAAAAACCATCGCCTGTCATTTCAATCCTCGGTGATCACAGACATATGACTAATCCCTAGCCTCGTTTATAGAATCCAAAAAGCATACTGAAGATATCTCCCACAAACTTTTTCCTCATATATGCCTCCTGAAAACTTGACCTGCTGCCAATCAGATTCAGCCATCCAGGCATTTCCAATCCTCTGATTCAATTCACCTATTACAACATATCTGATCCAGATCATTTTAAGAACAATTGGTCCTATACCTGATCCAAATTTTTAGAACCTCAGTACATAAAATTTAATTTGATCAATTTTTAGAACCTCAGTCCATAAAGTTATTGACAGGTGCCACTGTCAAACACAAAAGCAGAACAATCTTTAGATTCGTTGTATCAATGCTTGATATAACTAATAGCCATCTAGAACAATCCAAGAAAGGTCCACTAACCATTTACTCAAGAACATAGAACATCAAAGGATGGAAGTCCTAGCTGGCTACATGTCAAACAGCAAACAGTTCAATTAGAAAGTTAAGAAAAACAATACAAGTTTGACATTCCTTAGTACAATGAAACTCTCCAGACGAGAAAAAGAAACTGATGAACATGGTGATTATCACATATGTTTTCAAGGCAGAATGACAAAAGGGAATCAGAGATGAAGTGTTATCAACCCAGACAACATGGTATCTCAGATGATTATCATGAGTAAGAAACATCTTCTCAGATGGCTCCTTTGCTTTTGGCATGATCTGTACCCAAATTAAGCATAAGAAAACAATAAGCAATCTCTACAAAATTATTTAAAACTTAGTCCGTTTCTGGATTAGACATCTTGGACTGGTATGGTATCAGTATACTGGACGATATTCGGACATACACCACCCTTATATCCTTCACTGAAAAAAATAAAAAAATGTGCGGCTGTACTAAGCCATATAGTCTGATTCTTAGTCTGACTGGCAAACACCAATCAGTATGTGGTACAATCAATATCTGAAACCTCACCAAGGATGATGTCCAAGCGGTATGTAATCAACGAGATGTCAAGACAACACAGAACATATGAATAGAAAAGGTATGATGTTACAAGTTGACTAGAATGAAACATAAATTAGAAGATATATTATTCAAATAAAAAACCAAGAAGATAATTCCAAAACACATTATATGAGATGAAATCTTGCTATCAGAAATATGCCAGGAGTCATAAAACATAGCAATAATCATGAATTTTAGAAATATTATATCATTTTCACTATGACCCATTCTTTAAAGAGTACTCCAATACATTTTCTAACTAATTAAGCCCTCCATAGGATCTTCTCTCCTTCTATTATTTCAATAACATATTTACTTCTTATCCCTTTAGACACACTTTCAACTACACAAAATTGTTTCCCCTACAAATTTTCCTGTCAATAAAATCACCAAATGCAGAAAAGCACTGAAGTCCCTAGATATATATTGATAGCCTACTGATGGCATAATCTGAACAAACCAGTAAAAAGAACATAGGTATAAGATAAGATAATTGATTAATCATTGTCTCCAATGACATAGGCTGCAGAGCAACAAACAGGTAGAGACAATTTAACTTGACAACTAATAATTTAATATTGATACCCCTTCTATCTATAATAACAATAATCTGTAAAGTCCGAATATTTGAAAGATTGGTAGATGATAATGTAATGGAGTTTAACTGCACCTCTTCTATCTACAACAACAAGCCATAAGGTCCCAAAACTAGATTTATGAACTTTTTCTGGCCACGGAACACTACCGAGGGCAGCAACACTAGTGAAACTAATAGCAGTCTGAATCTTCTTTCAACATTTCTTTTACTTATAGATTCTATTATAGATGGTCTCACAGAAAGCATCTTATCGCTTTACAGGTTTTCCTAAAACCTTGCAGTACCAAACATAATGTCCATCCTACATCTGATTAAGGATAAACACTTATCTAAATCATACATCGCATTCGGCCTCTTCAAAATTGGAAAGAGAGATTTGATACAAAATGCACATAAAAAATAGACAGATTAAATATTTACCCGGAAAGATGGCTGGAACTCAGGAGGTGCTCCACTCTTGTCACCAATATCACCTGGAGGGCCAGCACGAGGGCCTCCACGATAACCATCCCTATCTCCAAACCTCGGCCTATCTCCTTCAAACCGGGGTGGTCCCCTGCGGAATGATTATGATTAACACAATGTAATCACTGATAGACAAGTAAAACCACTAATACATTGAATGAGAAATAGTAGTACCTGGGACGGTCACCAGGAGGACCAGAGCCAAATGGGCGGGTCGGCGGCCTCACAGACTTCTTCAGGGTGGCAGGAACGATCTCCGAGGGCAGGTTAAGGAAAGTTCTCAGGTACTCTATACCATCATTAGTGAGGTACCAGTAGTAGTGCTGCCAAGCAAAGGTCTCCCTCACATACTCCCTCGACTTGAAGCTCTGCATCAGCTTGATCACCTGGAGGTTCGGCACATCAATCTCCGGGTGCTTCGCAAGGTTATAATCCTTCTTTGCGTACAGTACCCCCTCTATAAAGATCACAACAAATGCAGATAAAGATGCAATACTTCAACTATGCACAGGCAACGTTACGACTGAAAACCCTACACCAGAAGATGCACCGATGTAGTGGATAGAAGAGAGCGACGTACCTTGGAAGAGGTACTTGCAGATCTCATGGCGGTTCTTCTTCGGAATGATCTGGGAGAGATGAACAGAGGAATCAGAGGAATAAAGGATGGAGATCGAAACAGGAAACGGAGAGAGACTGGCGACAAAGGTGAGAGATGAGAGTTCTCACCATGGCTTCTTCACGCAGGAAGGGAAGCCTCTGCAGGCGAGAGAACGAAGTGCAATGCGCCGACGAGATGAGGCAAGTAGCCAGCAAAACCCTAGCAGTATGATTTGTTATAGCGGTCGCCGATGGGCTCGATATGGGCTAATGACATGGTGGACTGCTATTTATCGGGTCCTTTATATATACGCCTAAATAATTTTAGGAGATAACCCCTATCTCTTAAAAATAATAATAATATAATATTTTACTAATTAGAATCTCATTAATTTCGATTTTATTTTATTTATCATCGCCTATGTATCATACCATCACCAATGCTCCCCAATACTTACTTTCGGCTTGTATCATGTCATCACTTATGTATCATGTCATCGTCTATGTATCGATCGTCGTCCCTCATCTTATACTCTCCGTCGATCATTGCCTTCAACCTGTGTTCCTTATTATTTATTGTCGCCCCTATCTCGCACACTCTCGGCTTGTGTCTTTATAACCAACGCGCTGGTTACAAAGGCCATCACCATCGATCTCCTCTTACGTCAATTAACATCCCTCAAACAACCTAACACGAAGGTAATAATATCCATGGACTCGCAAGCCCCGTTGATCAAATTCTATCGAGAAAACCGATTCCAAGAAAAAAGATATTATCCGAAATATACATCATACAGGTCTCTTCTATCATACCTTCAGCACTCATGTTCCATACATTATCAAGACCATCCAGAAAATGTATCTTTTGTGCTCTTTCATCACTATCGGGAATATATATTTTTGAGTGCCTCAAACACCATGACTTCTGATTGTTTTTAATACTTTATCTTTTAAGCCTTTAGCAATTTGTTTGTCATCGTAACATAGTTGTTCACACATCTCAATTTATGATGTGACATCGTTCTACTACGTCTCAAAGGAGACGAAGGATGCGAGGGCGAGGCATAGGCCAAACCTATTACAAAAGTTGTTGATGATGTCCCTCAAAGGTGGCCCCAAGGATCCATTAAAATTTTAGAGTTTTGGAACAAACATCACTTATGCTATATGTGAGCAACACATATGTTATGTCCATCGTCAACTTAATTATTCATATTTATAGAAGTAGAGATTACTAAAATGCTTAAACCATGCTCGATAAATATCTGAGTGGTCACTAAGTGCAGATGGGCCCCAACAACATGTTCAAGAATATGTGATGTAGTGGAGCTCGGGAGTACTGATGATATATTTGTATCAATATATTGAATCAGTATATTGATCACACACTGTTGTCACTATATATGGAGCGGTGGCAACTAAAGAGTGGCATGTTAGTACTTTTACATTTCTCAGTGTTTCTGGGAGATTTACAAATGCCCAAAATTTGTAAAAGTTACATCTTTTGGGTTAATATAACTGATAAAAAAGATTACATCTTCTGGGTGGAATGGAATATATAACTCTAAAAATATTAAATCATTATAACAAACATAAAAAACTATTTCTCACCTCCTCTTTGATCTTCACATTGCCTTGTTCTATCATTTATTTTTTTCTGATGTCACCTCTAACGATTAAGATGAGAAAAAAAAAAAAGAAAAAAAAGGAGCGAACACTTGACCATGTAGGGGAGGAGGGACGAAAAGTCCTACTATGGTCGTCTTCTTTCCTTTTGTTGACCATATGATAGTAGGATAGATGAGGGCCTTTGGTGGTGCCAGGCAATAGTGGATGAGGACGAGGGCCTTTGGTGGTGCCAGGCAATAGTGGATGAGGACGAGGAGTGGAGGCAACAACTAACTTAGCATAGTTTATGTGTAATCTTATTTTTTTAGAAAACAATGAACAGAATAAAAGAAAAGAGCACACTTTACGAGAAAAAAATAAAAACTTTAAAACTTTTTTTAGAATTTATCCTTATTTTTAGAATATGAAAATTATATATCTAAACGTGTTGTTAAATTAGTTTTTGATTGTCTAAGATTAAAGCTAATTTAAATCCAACATAGTCTTTTTCTCAAGTCGATATTAAGTCAAACTTCTTTAGTTCAATCCAAATCTTGCAAAACTGTTCGAGGTACTCTCGACATTACCCTGATACTTAAGTCAGTACGTTAGATATGTTTTGATTTTTAGTGTGTTAGGATGTATGTGCAGAACCGCTTTTTATAGTGGGTTCCCAACGTTGTTTCCTCAGAATAATATGCTGCTTGTGGGAACGTGGAGTGTCAATATCGAGCATAATTATCGTTAGCCTATGTTGAGTGTGAGATAATGTAATGTTCTGACATGTGGTGTAGATTACATGGTGGGGCTGACTAATTGGCTAGAAAGGGTAGAGCCATGGGGTGTTGGCGTGCCCATTGTCTGAGGGTTGTTTGATGTTGGTGTAGCATCCAAATGAGGCTTGGGTTTCGGCCACATGACATTAAGGTAGTGCTGAGCTGCTGCCTTTGATGCGTCAGTTGTTCAACACTATGGCATCGGTTACGTGGATCTGACATATCAACCTCATAGTGCCAAAGTGTTGACCACATGGCATCGTCATGTTGGCTACGTAGTGTCTAGCTTTTAGCTACATAGTGCCGAGATGTTGGTCATACAGTAACGAGGCGTCAATTGCATTATTACCATCTTCTTATTATGATGTATCGATTATTTGGCCTTGGTGTGTTGGTCACGTGGGTTTGACAGATCGATCATGTGGGTTTGACACATTGACCACATGGTGTCAACGTGTCAGTCATATCGCCATAACACATAAATATATAACGATCAATTAATTCTAATAATATTATATTTCAAAATAATTCAAAATTAGAAAAAACATGTAGATTCTAAACACACATAAAATAAACTTTGATAAGTGCAAATCAATCAAGTTTTGCTAAGGGTATATAGATTTGTTAGTCCATTTAATTTTTTCGATTGGATTAGTCTGATTTTATTAACAATTAGAGTGTTAACCAACAACATGGATTACCACTTTTAGAAGGTTTGATTTGATTCAATTAAAAAATTATTCATTTAAACCCTTAAGTCTGTCTTTGGTCTATCCACCATCAACCCATCAATTATCATCTTTTTTTTTTTTTTTTCTTCCTTCGACTCTCGTTATTTGTACTGGTCCGATCATGCACTGACATAAGTTTAGTTTTTAAAATTATATTTTTTAATTTAAATTAGAGTTAGTTAGCCTATTATATACGATAATAGATTGATTATTTTACCTTTGTATCTTTCAAAGACAATTTTTTTTTGAGAATTGTTTGGTGGAGTCTCCTGAGAGTACTTGAATTCTCTCAATAAATAAAAAATATTATATTTGAATCTAATCGGAGTTCACGATTACTAAGGAACCAGATTAAAAAAAATGATAAGATATCTAATGAAAGCTTATTTAGAATTAAGATCTCATTCAAAAATCGGATACTAGGTAAGGCCTACCCATTTTAATTATTTTTCTTTTTTACGGCCAATTTAGAATTTGAACCGGAGGCCTTGTCTGCGGCGAAACTGATTCGTTATTAGAGCTCTCTGGTGAGGGCCCCGATATGGGTTTGGGTCAGACCAGTCCGAACCGAAACAATGGACCGGTGTTTGAATATCGAACTCCTGCCGCTTCATTCCGGCTCCCGAGCCGGTGTGTAACGGTCTTTAGTGGAACCTTCTGGATGTCGATGCCGCTATAAATATCTGAGCTTCGGATGCCTCTAACGGTCGGGAGAATGGAAGAGGAGGGAGGGCAACGATCAAGCTTTGCCGTAGGGTTGATAGGGAACCGAGCGAAGGAGGTAACTCCGATTCATCACTCGTCTTTCTATTGTTCGCTTCCATCGGTACGATAGAATCAGATCGTTCTATTGATTCTCTCTCCTCCCATTAAGATCATTTACCGTCGTTTACTTGATCCTGCTAATGTTCTATTCCGATCTTGCTCTGATCTGAAGCTTCTATTGAGTGTTTGAACGGAAGGATTGAATCCTGTTATTGGTTTAAGTTCGTTTCAGCTTTTTGTGTTTGCAACTTGTTTCTAGGGTTTTTTTTTGCGACTCCATGAAACAGACGACAATATAAGTTCACCATCCGTTCTTTAGGATCCGATCTTTCTCCGTTTCCGCAGCTTGCATTGGCGCATTTGAAGATAAAAATCTAATCGTGTTTTCCGTTCTTTATTTCTTGGTAATATCTCACTAGGGCTCCTTCCTTGGGACGTACAGAAAACGGGTGAACGGACGAATTAAATCATTCTTTCTCTGCTTCGTGTTCAGATCTTTCTGCCTGATCTTTCTGATCTTCTAATCCAATCTTTCACTGGTTCAAAGCTTGTATTAGAGTATTTCAACGCAAGAGTCAAATCTTATTCCTAGCTTACGTTTCTCCAGGTATTGTGCCTTCAATCGTTTCTAGGGTTCTTATTTTTCTCGGAACACTGTAAAGTGGACAGAAAGTAAATGTAAGCCGGGCGTCCGTTCTTTGATCTCTTGGGGAATATTACCGCTCAGCCTTAGCTACTCCCCTAATCCCAAGCTCTGTGATACAGTTCTGATCAGACAGGCGTCGATCTTTAGTGTGATTGGCTAGGAAGAGGCGGAAAGCAAACACTTCACTAAGATATTAGAAATAGAGCTTGAAGCAACCATAGATTTCATATGTCCAACTCGCCATGCCTTTGTGTTTCCAAGGTCCAGACGCCTGTTTTCAGACATGAACGAAGTGAGTGAACAGTGAAGGAGCTTTGAAGCACAGGTTCGTATTAGTAATACAGAAAAAAAAAAAGAGAAAGTGATAGCTCAGAGTGTAAGGAGTTCCAGGATCCATTATATAAACATATAAAATGATAACCAATACACAGAGAAAAAAAATCAACCCATTTCCCCGGGAGAAATGCTTCTCTCAAGGGAAAATTTGAAATGCTCCGAAGGATACCCACCAATTTCCATTGTCCTGCTATATACAAAGATTATAATATAGCAGAGCATTGGAAATTGGCTCAGGAAATATTGGATATGTTGCAAATGAGTGAGAATAGCAGTCGAAAAAAAGGATTCAGTCGTTTTGCTCCCTTGAACACAACCCAACAATTTCCATTGTCCTGCACTCCTGCTATGGACAAGGATTGTAATATAGCGGAAACATTGAAAATTGGCTCAGGAAATATTGGATATGTGTTAAATGAGTGAGAATAGCAGTAAAAAAAAGGGACTTGGTTGTTTTACTCCCTCGAAGACAACCCAACATGGATTCAGAAAATCATGAGCTGCCTTTCCACGAACATCCAATTTCAACCCAACATTGAAAATTGGCTCAGGAAATATTGGATATGTGTTAAATGAGTGAGAATAGCAGTAAAAAAAAGGGACTTGGTTGTTTTACTCCCTCGAAGACAACCCAACATGGATTCAGAAAATCATGAGCTGCCTTTCCCCGAACATCCAATTGGATTTGGGAAGTTAGTGTGCTTAATCCCCATACATTTCTCCCCTCAAACAACCAGCACAATCAAAATTGTCTATGCATGAACTAGCTTGTCGGGAGTCTTTTTTGGGTCCGATCTATCTACTAATAGCTCCAGAACTTTCTCTGTTTCTGAAGCTTGCATTGAATTACTTGAACATAAGAATCCTGTTTTTTGTTGTCTTCATTTCAGGCTTTAATTCGTGGTCATGTTTTTCTAGGTTCTTTTATGTACATGGAGAAAAGATAATTATAATTTGAATGTGGTAATTTACTGTGCCTTTGACTCTTTATTTTGGAAAAATGTGAAGTGGATAAAAAGAAAACTATTCAGTTGAGAATCTCTTCTTTGAATGCTGGCTTGATAGGTTAGATTTTATTTTATATCATGGCTTTGTGTTTTTTCATGTCCATGTGGAGAATGAACAAGGTGGGCATCTAGTTCTAATTGATGTCCCATCAATGATTCGGTACATTGATTGATTCTAGGTTGTTTTTATTTTTAGTTTAATGACCTCATTCTGAATCAAGAAACAAGCAAAGAGACAGGTTTTGTTTTTGTATCCTCATTTTACTTCTCGCCATTGTTCTTTTGCAGCCTTCTTGTGGTTTTTAAGTGTGCATTTAGGAGTTCAAACGAATTGTATCTGAACATCTAGGTGATTTATTTGTTCTCTAGGTTTATTCTTTTTTTATGGTATACTGCAGAACAGAGAAAGATAGCCGTGATAGGTGATCTGTTCTTTGATTTTCTAGGGCTGATGAAATATTGGCTGTAATACTTTACGGTTTTGAAATTTTGGTCGGCACTCTTTTAGATTGTGGTGATTATTTTTTGATCAACTTCTGTTATATCATATTGGGATTGATAACGAGTGAAGGATGTTAGGTTTCTCTTATTTCCTTTGTCTGATTTTCTGGAATCAATGTTGTTATTCCTTGCACTAATATGAAATATAAGAAGTTGCAAAACTGACTGGATTATTGGTTTCCACTTTTATTTTTTTATATGATTATAATCACAATATTTCTATTATCAGCTATTGAAAATGGGATGTAATTATCAAATTATCCATTATGTGTCCTGGATGATGAAATTTTAGTTAGGTCATTTGGATTCTTGGTTTGATCTACTTTTCCATCATCATCATCATGCTTTGTCTAACATGAAAATTTGTTACACTATGAAACTTATTTGTAAAATTATAAGCATCTTCAGAGTTTTCTTGGACAACATATTATAATTGGTGAAGCTGCTTAATGGCAATTTGTTTTTAAATCATGGCTTGAATACCCAAAATAGTTTATTCTCTAAGTTTGTGTTGTGTCCATCTAGAAGGTATTGACATCACATTTGAATAAAAAAGTTACTCTATTTGAGATAAATGACATACAAAATAAGGCTAATTTTGTAACAAAAATATAGCTTAATTTTGTAATATTTCTTTTTTATAAATATTTGCATAAATAATGTTAATTATAGTTGTATATTTAGAATAATTATTTTGAAAAGCATGTGTTTGGCTTGTCAGGTGGAACATATTCATACTAATTGGTGTACTATTGGATTTGATAAAAATGATATCGAGCTTTCTATTGAATTTTATTTTCTCTTATGAAAAAATTATGGTTTTGAATTTTATGTCAGATTGTCTGAAATGGTATTTTTAGACAATTTCAGACAATCTGACATAAAATTCAAAATCATAATTTTTCACAAAAGAAAATAAAATTCAACATAAAGGCAAGCCTATATACATTGACCCTCCCCAGCCCCGCATTGGTGGGAGCCTCGTGCATCGGGTATATCCTTTTTTTATTGTTTGAAATGATATCCTATAAATCTAAAAATGATGACTACCTTTAAAGTTTAGTTTCTTCTTATATGAAGTCATGAACTGAATCTCAAGATCCTATTATAAACATGCCTGGTCGGAGGCTGCATAGTTCCTTCAATTCTTCATATTTTGTGCACTACATTACCATTTTGATAATCAGGTTGATCATGAAATGCCAATCTTCATGGCTTGCACAAAAGTATTTATCAGTTCTTTTAAATTATGTCATCAGTTTTAACTTTTCCATTGGGTTTTTCTTCAATGGCAGACAATAGGACATTCATTTGTATGGACAAATTTCTTCCAAGCTAGATTTCGAGCACATAGTAATCCTTATTGTTGATTTCCTATGTCATAATATGTTAGAACTTACCATCTATGTAGGTTGGTGTTGCAGCTTTTGACTTGAGATCAGCCTCATTACATCTTTCTCAATACATTGAAACTAGTCGTTCATACCAGAACACAAAGACATTGCTGCATTTCTATGATCCGATGGTTATAATTGTACCACCGACCAAACTGTCTGCAGATCATATGGTGGGAGTCACAGAGCTGGTAGATAAATATTATGCATCCAACAAAAAGGTCATAATTACTTTTCAACTTCATCTCCAAGTATTTGTCATATGCTTAATGACCTTCAAATGTGCAGGTCACACTACCTCGTGGTTGCTTCGATGATACTAAGGTCATCTACACTTTGTTATTTTTCTTTGGTTTAGTTATTTAATACTTCTTACATGCTTCTCTCAAAGTATCATTTGCTGCTTTTCTCAAAGGGGGCTGTGCTTGTTAAAAGTTTGGCAGCTAAGGAGCTATCTGTCCTTGGTTTGGGTACTTTCCATAAGCAATACTATCTATGCCTGGCTGCTGCTGCTGCCACAATCAAGTGGTATGTTAGTGTCACTTATTTAATGGTTCCAAAATTTATGATATTGCTATCTTGTTATTCATGTGGCTAAATGCTACCTTTGAAGTTTGGAGTCCTGTTTACTCTCTTTAGGTTAGAGGTGCATAATGAAGCCGGCCTTTTTTTTTCCCTATCAAGCTCTTCATAATTTGACCTTGCACATGATTGGGATTTTTCTTTAAAAAGTATAATTTGATTTTTTTTTATAATCCAAATGACCCTAATATGAGGTTTTACACATAAGTATCTGATTTACTAAAACTCTGTTGGGTGTTGCTACGGAAAATAGTAGTAAAATGATGGTGGTTGAATTGATCAAAGATAATGGTCTCTGAATAAAAGCTAAATGACAGTCAAGGATTCATGTGGGCAACCGAGTTAAAGATATCTTGTTTGTCTTAACACAGTTTCAACACCATAACTAATGGATACTTATTTCTGAACTTATGGTTTTACTACTTTCAATAATTTTTAGAGACATCAGATTGGCTTGAAGCAGAGGTTTTTTTTCTTGTATTCTTTTTTTCTGTTAAACATTTAATGGCATTGTTAAATTATATCTTTTAATGTCAAAAGTCATACTTGTATTAGATTCTATTGTTACATAATAAATTATGAAACCTAGTTAGTTGGACTTTTGAGTTTTTTTTTAGAGCATTAACTGACTTACCCAATGAAATTAACTAGGTTCTTTGCTCATTTGGTACCATGAATGGCATATAGATTTTGTTGCCATTCATAAAAATTCCCTAATTTTGATATTACAGGATTGAAGCAGAGAAAGGTGTAATTGTTATAAACCGCTCATTATTGGTATACCCTTGCATCCAACTTCACATGATAGTTACCTTTTCTGATAGGAAGTTACTAGATGCTGTGATGACCTTTTTGTTTGTTGTCACATTATTGCATTACTTTTATATGTGTTGTCACATGTTTAAATATTATTGCCATTCAATGAAAATAAGGATCCATCTTTTTGTACTTAATATTTACATTTGGCTCTACTTTTTACTATATAATCGGCTAAAGTAAATTGGAAAATGGACACAGGGAATATTACAATCATAATACTGATTTGCATATATAAAGAGCAAAAGTTTCCAATTTTCCATGGTCAACACAAAAATTAATTTTAATATAAATGTTACCAAAATCGTACATCTTGCAATTAGACCGGCAACAATGCTCGGTCACTTCAGTAGTGGTAGCATGAAAGACTTCATAAGCTAAGTACACATGACAAATTGAAACTAAACATCAAAACATTGGATAAGCTACACTTGCCTAATTTAAAGATGGTGAAGTCTTTGTGATTAGTATTGGTGTCGGTGATCCTTGCTTAGGTGGCCAATCGGGCAACTCTGTCCAAAATCCAATCCTTGCTAAAGCGTAATGACCTCACTTGGATGGTTGGAGGCACTTGAAGACATAGTTCCTGAGGTGGAGTTAGACTCTTGATCCCTCTTTGGCTGCACCAAAACAAAATCTATTTTTCTCTCCAAATGGAGGACTTAGAGGTGGCTTTCTTGTCCTTTGTCAGTCTACATGGAAAGATGAACAATAAACACTTTAGAGGCCTTGAAGGACCCTTTGTCCTTCGATGTTCTCAAGGCCTTCAAGAACTTGTATCCTACTAGTTTTGTTGAAACCTTTCATTCCCTTATGCATGCCTTTCTCCTTCACACCTTTTTGCTTCTGTTTTTGTTCTTTCCTTTTGTTTCTTTTTTGGTACTTGTTTCATACTTAAAATAAAATAAGCTTCACCTCTACTGTTTTTACCTAAAAAATTAGTATGTCATCTGCTATTATTTTTATCAAAGTTCTTGGTTTCTGTTTGACTGACTAAAGATCTCTCTCTCTCTCTCTCTCTCTCTCGCTCTCGCTCTCTCTCTCGCTCTCGCTCTCGCTCTCGCTCTCTCTCATGCCTTCCTTTCCATCTCGTGTTTCTTACTCTTCGCTATTCCTTTTTTATTTATGTTACAATTTCAGTCTTCTGCACCCTTTGCATGAAATTTATTTGTTGGACTTGTCAAACATCTCGGGTAAATGGCACTTATTTTTTTATTTATGTGCTAGAATTGATAATTATTTCTGACAGCATACTTCTCAGGTTACCTTCAATGGTTCATTTGACCACATGAACATCGATGCTACTAGGTATCTTTTCTCAGTGATGCTTTGCTATATTTATGATAGATGTAGAGCTAGGATCATGAACCAATTTTGCTTTGTGTATTGTCTCTTAAAATTTTATCTGAAATGATAAAGTGTTTTAAGTCTGTCTGATTCATGCACCAATGTAAACAGTGTCCAAAATTTGGAAATTATTGACCCGTTACATTCTGAATTATGGAGCACCAGCAACAAGAAGAGAAGCCTATTTCAAATGCTGAAAACAACGAAGACTGTAGGAGGGTATGCAATAATGCAACATCTTGGTGGTCATACAACATCTTTTTGTGCTAATATTATATCAAGCATAATCTTTTAGTAGTTGTAAGGTAGTTTTAACTTTTAACAATGATATTTTCAAGTAGATACATGAGAAATCAAGGTTCGTAATTTCGTATTGTACCAGTGTTTCAAGCTTTGCTCGGTATGGTATGATACAAGCATACCAAGCGATACGCTAGGGTGTACCGCTCGATACGTATATATATATATATGTATAATTATATATTAAAAAAAGGAGGCGTATGCTGCCTCGGCGATGTCGTCTCCTTTTCTTCTCCTCGTCACGTCAGACGAGGAGAAGATTATCTGCGGCGTTCGGTGAAGGCGTCAAAAGCCACAGACGCCTCTGGACTTAGGCGAAGAACACGGCGAAGGCTACAGGCGTCTCTGGCCTTCGGCGAAGAACGTGGCGAAAGCCGCAAGCGTTTCCAGCCGTTGGCGAAGAACGCGGTGAAGAAGAAGTCGAGCCGTCGCCACTTCGGTACCTTCTAGATCGGGATCGTGGAGGGAGGGCGGCACCGGATCGGAAGCGTCGAGGTTCTCCTGATTCTCCCTCTTCTCCCTCAACGCTTCTTCTTCCCTCGTTGCAACCAGGCTGATAGTGCATAGTAGCGGGCGGTCTATGTACCAGTATGTTGGCGGATGGTATGTACCACCCACTACGGGCGATATTATTCGAAATTAAAATCCTCGTGAGAAATCATTATTTAATTTTATATCTTAATATTGTTTGTTCTTGATTTAACAATTTGGATTGACCGTCAGGTACTTGGATAATGTTTGGTTTGTGGGTCATGTTTTCATAGAAATTTTAGTCTGGCATTAGTTCTCGATTTATATACTAGCTTTTAAGATTTTCTTCCAGAAGCTGTAAAAAAGAATAATAAGGCTAATCCAAATAACCATTATCTTTAAAGGAACCATTATCCAAGTAACAATACATGATATCTTACCTAAAACTCTTTTATATTTTTTTTGCTTTTGTACAAATCTTATTGATTTTATATTGATTTGGTATCCAATACTATTACCAAATCTAAATTTTAAACCATGTCCTGATCTCATTCCATTTGTTGTTGGATATACCAAGTCATTTTGGTCAGCACATCAAATGTGGACTATTATCTTCTAGGTACTCTTTCTAGTTGCAAATTTGATTTTGATAATTATAATATTTGATGGCAATGGCGTTTAAGATTTTGGTACCAATAACCAACATTTGATGTGTGGTTATAGAATAAGATGATACACAAGTTGCTTGACTGCTACAATATTTTTAAGCAAAGCATGGGATTTTTAAGAATGGATTTTATTTATCTATTGTTATGATCATTGCTTTCATTTGTTAATTAGAAAGAGTAGAGTTTTTTTTTCCTTTGCTTGATAAATAGACCTTCATTTTCTTCAATACATTTTCAAATATAACCTAAACAATTATTTATTTTTCACTCCATGTGTACGTATAGGCCAACTAAAATTGTTTTGCATACACGATGACCATCTATATCAGTCATTTAGATTCTAGTCTATTATATATTTAAATATGGTGGACAAGGATTGCCTAATAGTTTGCTGTCTGTCGGCACAAGCAAAGTCATGCAAAACCATGCTCCATCATGTGGAGTTATGCTAGTTGTGTTGAGATATGTTTATGCACTAATTTTGGGGCATGTTGTAGACAATGCATTTGTAGTGCTGAAAAAAGGTATTAACAATTTGGCATGTCCCACTGCCACAAAAAATATTAGTTCCTACTGAATGTTTTGGTGAGTTTAAACTAGTTGAAATTCTCGTAGATCACCCATCAACATTGTTGTAAACTTGTAATTGTAATTTTGAGGGTTTCGATCAAAGTGATAGTTAAAGCTCTAACTGCTCTTTTCCTTTCTAGCACTCTCTAAGCTAGGGTTTTGACATATCTCCTTTCTGTCCTTCAATTTCTCTGGCCATCAATTGGCTGCCCAAATGTAGATGACCATCTATGTTCCTTTACCTGCCCCCCATTGCTCCAGCTATTGGAAGGCTTCATTTTTATGTCATTATATTTTCTCACTTATCAGTGATCTATTTTTTGAACTTTGACTAGATATATGACTTTCCCTGTCAAGCACTTATTACACCATCAGTTATTGATGGTCTGAGACTTGTTGGATGGTATTTGGCATATGGTATTATTTTTTATTCTTTCCCTATTTTCTTAGAGCTGATGGACTTTTCTCACTTATCAGTGATCTATTTTTTGAACTTTGACTAGATA